GTCTACTATGCTGTCTTCAGAGCAGAGGAGAGTATGCTGTTTTGTAGTCAGAGTCTGAGGCGGGTGGATCACTTGAGGTCAGGAGTTTGAGACCAGCCTGGTCAACATGGTGAAACTCCATCTCTACTAAAAATACCAAAATTAACCAGGCATGGTGGTGCACGCTTGTAATCTCAGCTACTCAGGAGGCTAAGGCAGGGGAATCTTTTGAAACCGGGAGGTGGAGGTTGCAGTGAGCTGAGATTGTGCCACTGCACTCCAGCCTGGGGACAGAGCAAGACTCTGTCTCAAAAAAAAAAAGAGTCCTTGGGGCTCTATAATGATCCTAAGATTATCCCACATATTTTTATTTAATGTGGCTGCTATTCCTTTTCCCTACCCGGGCATTGCATAACAATAACAACCGCAAGAATGAGAGATTAAGCTTGTGTAATAGACTGATTCATTTTACTTAGAAAGCCGAAGCTGTTCAGGGATAAGACATACAAGCTAGGTCAGTACAGCTGAACAAAAACAAATTCCAGATTGCTTTTATTCACAGAAAACTTGCATTTCAAGTAACATTCCACAAACATCATATCCGTTAAGAAACAACCCGTCTTTCCAGTTTATTTATGTCAGAATCTAAACAGTCTTTTCACTTAATTATTAAGCACTGGCAGATTTGGAACTCCCAGTTAAAACTGGAGGTGTTCTTCCTATTATCTAATAGTTTACATTCTTCCTAATAGAGAGAAAAAGGCGAAGTGCTGAAATGCACTCTGAAGAAGTCATTTTCTCTTCCTTCCCCAAATTTTGTACATTTCAATGAACCTGTTCAAATGTCTTACTGAAGTGCCTAGGTGCGGAGGAGGGATGAGAGAAAAAAGGCATGAATAAATAAAGGAGAAAGCTTCCTTTTCAGAAGCTGCCTGGAAAGATGAGTCGAAAAGGATTAGAACAAGGTGGGCAAAGGGGTTTTGCTGTCTGAAATAAGATTGGAAGGAAGCGTGGAGAAGAAAGATTTGGTCTGCATGGTGTCTTGGAAGCATTCCAAAAAGAGCGTTTTAAAAAGGGGAGATCATTAAAAGGATTCACACAGCCATCTGTATGAATTGGAAAACCCGGGAGAGTGTCTGAAATGTCCTGTGAGTGCTGACCTGAAATGCAGGTCACCAATGCCCCCAGACATCAATGCGGCTCGAGCACAGTTACATTAACAAACCTTTCCAGCCAGTGTTGAAAGATCATCGCCTCCGATTATCTGCATCTCACCCATGGATTCGTCATTCTGCAAAAAAGGAGAAAAAAACAGGGAGATGATTTTACCACACAAGAAAACCTTTAAAGCACATTTTCTTGTCTACCCAGTTAGTGGCCGGAATGTGCCTTACAAACATAGCACAAATAGCTAATAGGGATTCATGGTTGCCTATGGTTACCAAGAGCTCTGCTCCTGCTACTGCCCTTGAGACAAAGCTTTCTAATGGCTGGCAGGGAGAGGCTGGGTGTGCAGCGAGAGTGGGAGAGTGGAGAGAGGACAGACAAACCTAACGAAGCAAAACGCTCAGGAAGGTGCCTGAGCCTCTCCTGGAGCAGAGAGAATTGGAGAAGGCAGAAATATGGAGCCCTAGGAATGGGCTGAGTATGTTAGCTTTGCCAGCAAGCCCTGACTATAGGCCTGCAGTGGAGTCAGATTCTGCTTCCCCAAGAGCCTGGAGGCCTCCTCTACTCCCCACCAGTGGAGACCCAACCCTTCATCTGGCATCCAGGGCAATTGGAACAGGCCATGAATCAAGAAGTATTGCACTTAGACCTTTTGACAGGAGTGATGAGGCCTCAGCCAGTTTCTGCAGTCCTAAGAATATGATGCTCAGAACTACATATATTCATACATACATATATAAAAATATATACTACAAAATATATGTACATATGTAAAAAATATATATGCACGTGTATGTGTATACACACACACACATATATATGTATATATATATATTTTTTTTTTGAGACAGGGTCTCACTGTTGCGTAGGCTGGAGTACAGTGGTGTGCTCACAGCTCATTGCAGCCTCCATCTCCCAGGCTCAAGCAATCCTCCAGCCTCAGCTTCCCAATTAGCTGAGACTACAGACAGGCACATGCCATAATGCCTGGCTGATTTTTTTCTTAGTGTATTTTTATTTTTAGTAGAGCAAAGCTCTTGCTATGTTGTCCAGACTGGACTTGAACTCCCGATCCCTAATGATCCTCCTGTCTTGGCCTCCCAAAGTGCTGGGATTACAGGGATGCACCACCATGCCTGGCCTCAGAACCATATTTAGAAGGCTTTTCATTCTAATCCTGTTAGAGTTTACGACGATACACTTTCACGATGTTTATATATGGCATATTATGCTGTTCTAACGAAACCTCACAAACAAAATGCATTGTTGCAACGTGACCATCATAATAGAATGGCACAGAGGCAAAACAAGAAAGAGAACCACTTGTCTCCCAGCCTCGTTACAGACCCACATTAAAGGAACCAAAGCTGATATATTCAGGCAGTCGGCTTCATGACCAAGCAAGAATGCTGTGATGTTGCAATCCCTTGATTCTAACAATAACCTTGGGGAGAAAAAGACAATATAGGCACCATATGTGCTACATGCTGAACTAGGAAACATCTTTAGTTACTGCTGTGGACAGCTGTCCCTTTTGCTAGCTCAGCGCCTTCCTCCTTTATCCCGGCAAAGAGGTCCTACCTCTTCCTGGGGGGAGTCCATTTCACACAGTTCAGGTAGGGCCAGGCCTTCGCAGTGCAGGCCAACCAGCTGGGCCTGAAGCTATAGCCAACCTCAGATCTTCCAGCTACTCAAGCCAATTCCCTTAGGAATTTTCTTGGGGTGATTTGAATTGGACTCTCACTTGTAACTGAGTCTCTATCTAGAGGTACAATTACTTTGTTATGAAGTTGGTCATCTGGGAAGGGACAAAACAGCCAATCCACCAGTAGGACAGTTTTGCCAAAGAGAAACTTTTTGTCTTTTTTACCCTGCTGCTCAAACGAAAAAAAAAGACCTTAATATTTTTAACTTTTTTTTTTAAGAGACATAGTCTCACTTTGTTGTCCAGGCTGGAGATCAGTGGTAAAATCATAGTTCACTGCTGCCTCAAACTCCTGGGCTCAAGCGATCTCCTGACTCAACCTCCCAAGTAGCTGGGACTACAGGTGTGCGCCACTATGCCTGGAAAAGTATGTTTTTAACTTCTGCTTGGTAAAGCACTTACTCCTTACCGCGTGAATGGTTGGAGGGAGCCTTGTGCAGGCAAGGAGAGAGGCTTCACACACTAGCTCGCCCTGAAAATGACCCACCAAGTTAGATAAACCCAGTAATTTTCTTCTGATGGGAACTGATGTCAAAAGGAGAAAAATCAAAGGATATTCAGAATTGACAGATGTTTTGCTGTTTTCGTACATATATCATCAGATATTCACAAGTAGTCATGACAGTGGTTAAGGACTTGTCAAAAATGTCAAAGGAGAAAGTTTTCTTGTCACTGCTAGAGGTGCTGAGATCAAGGAATTAGCATAGGAAGAATTTCTGCACATTAGACTTAAATATGTTGTTAATAGCAGCAGGAAAAATCAAACTTCAGCACTCCCAGGTGACTGGGTTATACCGAATTGAATACAACTACTAAACCACCAAGTTTAATGTAACAATGAGATTTATACTCTGCCAGATCAGTGTAAATGTCACAATAATTCTACTATTATCATCTTCATTCTATTGATTAAAACCAAAAAACATCAGAAAGCTAAATGTGCTAAAAGTCATAAAGTATGCTGCCAAGCAAGTATTACTTAAGAAAGTCTTACTTCTTCCAAGTGTATAAACATGTTTTTTTTTATTTTTAATTGACCAAAAATTACCATATATATTTGATATGGTTAGGCTGTGTCCCCACCCAAATATCATCTTGAACTGCAGTTCTCATAATCCCCATGTGTTGTGGGAAACAACCCGTGGGAGGTAACTGAATCATGGGGAAAATTACCTTCATCCTGTTCTTGTAATAATGAGTGAATTCTTACGAGATCTGATGGTTTTATTAGGGGGGTTTTCCCCGACTTCACTCTGCACTTCTCCTTCCTGTCATCATGTGAAGAAGGACATGTTTGCCTCCCCTTCCACCATGATTGTAAGTTTCCTGAGGCTTCCCTAGCCCTGTGGAACTGTGAATCAATTAAGGCTCTTTCCTTTATAAATCACCCAGTCTCTGGTACATGTCATTATTAGCAGTGTGAGAATGGACTAATACAATATGTATGGGGTATGATGCGACATTATGATAGATTTTTACATTCTGGAATGATCAGATAAGGCTAATCAGCATATCCATCACTTCAGATTTTTATCATTTATTGTGTTTAGAACATTTAAAATCCTTTTTTAGCTATTTGAAATATACATTAGTATTAATTATAGTCTCTGTGATGTGCAATAGAACAACAGACCTTATTCCTCCTAACTACCTGTAACTTTGCACCCATTGACCAACCTCTCCCTTGTCCCCATTCTCCCCTGCTGCCCCCAGCCTCTGGCAAGGACTATTCTATTTCCTACTTCTATGAGTTCAACTTTTTTATATTACACATATAAGTGCAATTATATGGCATTTATCACTCTGTGCCTGGCTTATTTCACTCAGCCTGTTCTCTCAGTTCATTCATGTATATACAAGTTTTTAATATTAGATTTGTCTTTAGTTCATCTGGATTTTGTATCTTCCAAGTGTGATATTGTCAATGGTTCCAATGTCATTTATTGAATTATTATTTTTCCCTACTGGTTTGAGACATCATTTTGATCTTATCTTTATTCTTATATGTAAGGGTCAATTTCTCTATTTTTCTAATATATGATGTCTACTTCAACATGAATTCATCTAACATGTCCAATTAATTAATCTATTCCAACACCCAAATCATATTGCTATAATCATAGTTGTTTCTTTTTTCTTTTTTTTTTTCAAGAAACAGGGTCTTGCTCTGTCACCCAGCCTGGAGTGCAGTGATGTGATCACATCTCATTGCATCCTTGAACTCCTGCCTGCCAGCGATCCTCCTGCTTTGGCCTCCCAAAGTGCTGGGATTACAGGTGTGAGCCACTATGCCTGGACTTATCATAGCTTTTTAATATGCTTTAATATTTGGTAGGGCAAGTCCACTTTCCAGTTCTTTTTAAAAATTGTCTTGGGACTGAGGGTGTTGACTTGTACCTGCAGAGGCAGGAAATTTTTTTTTTTTAATAGAAATATTGGTCTCACTGTGTTGCCCAGGCTAGTCTCAAACTCCTGGGCTCAAGCAATCCTCCTGCCTCAGACTCCAAATTTCTTTTTCATCTTTCTCCCAACCTTTGACCCTGACTCAGTCCTCCCAGGAAACGGCTACTCCTCAGTCCTCCACTGGCACACAGCAATCTAGGCTCCTGGCTTAAACACTCCAGAAAAATAAGCCCTTTATTTCCCACTGGGATGGTGAAGATTAACTTAGAGGTTCAGCTTCTCCAGTCAAAGGCTTTCAACCAACCTTATTGTTTTCATTCCATTCCTTCCTTACTCCACATTCTAAGAACCTAATCCCGAACATTTCAGGAATTTTTGGCACAATACTCCTACTTCTCATTGATACTTCCCTCCGCAGGCATTTTGATGCTCACTTTCTCTGTTCAGCTCAGTCAGTGCCCCTCCTTAATCAGGCACATACCACCACGCTCAGCGAGTTTTTTTTTTTTTTCAGTAGAGATTGGGTCTCACTATGTTGCTCAAGCTGGTCTCAAACTCCTAGGCTGCAGTGATCCTCCTGCCTCAGCCTCCCCAGTTCCTGGGATTATAGGTGTGAGCCATCCCACCAGGCCTAACCATAAAACTTTTTTTAATGGTTCAAAGTCATCCTATATTTCCTGGATTGATGTTTGTGTTTTTTTAAATGAATGTCACTGGTTTGAAGATAGATGAGCAATCCCAAATAAAATAGTATAAGTAAGATTGGTCCATTGTTTTATTTTCTTTTGCTATCTTTGTGTATTTTTAAAGCAAAGTTATGCTAGCCTCATGTAATAAGTTGGTTTTTCTATGCACTAGAAGATTCTACATATAAATGGATTTAGCTGTTTTGCTAAGGTTCAGTAGAGCTCAAAGTAAGTTTTATTTTATTTTTGAGACGGAGGCTTGCTCTGTTGCACAGGCTGGAGTGCAGTGACAGGATCCTGACTCACTGCAACCTCCACCTCCCGGGTATGGGCGATTCTCTCACTTCACCCTCCCAAGTACCTGGGATTACAGGCGTGCACCACCATGATGGAGAAATTTTTGTACTTTTAGTAGAGACAAGGTTTCACCATGTTGGTCAGGCTGGTCTCGAACTCCTGGCCTCAAGTGATCTGCCTGCCTCAGCCTCCCAAAGTGCTGGGATTACAGGCTTGATCCACTGCGCCTGGCCAGAATACACATCATTTTAAGATGATTTAATGATCAAGCTAGAGAGCTCCTAATTAAAATGTTGCCAATGGCTCAAAGTGAATTTTTTTTAAAACTCTGAGCATTTGATAACAGCTCAGATAATCAGGATGGGTGAATTGATTCCAGCATTCCTAGCTTTCCAATCAGTGGTTGATGTGAGATGTGACTTGCAATTGGGTCCCTCAGTCTTTGAAGCTGCATGGAGCCAAAGTGGAAGACGATGCACAACTGGGGTTATTGAGGCTCTCGCGCCTATCCTTTGCTTCCACCAGAGCAAATCAACTTGTCTGGTTGTATATATATATATATATACAACTTGTCTTTATATATACATATACATATATACATTCACACACACACACACACATACACACACACACACACACATATATACACACAACCAGACAAGTAGAGTTATCTCTACTTTATATATATATAAACCCCATCTCAAAAAATATATATATATTCACTTTTGTCGTGCAGGCTGGAGTGCAGTGGCATGATCTTGGCTCACCCGCAACCTCTGTCCTGGGATCAAGTGATTCTCCTGCCTTAGCCTCTCAAGTAGTTGGGATTACAGGCGCGCGCCACCATGCCCAGCTGATTTTTGTATTTTTAGTAGAGACGGGGTTTTGCCATGTCAGCCAGACTGGTCCCAAACTCCTGACCTCAGATGATCCACCCGCCTCGGCCTCCCAAAGTGTTGGGATGACAGGCATGAGCCACGATGTCCAGACGTATTTATGAATTCTAAAGAAGACACTGGGGAGGAAATGTTCTGCTACCAAAAAACCTAGTTTTAAAACAATTAGGTTGGTGCAGAAGTAACTGTGGTTTTTGCCTTTTTTCAAATGGCAAGAACCGCAGTTACTTCTGCACCAACCTAATATTATGTTAATGTTTTTGTTTTTAATCCCTTGAAATTGACTTACCTTCTTCTCAGTTTCCTGTTCATTTAAATACCCATTTGCTGCTAAGATTGTTTTTGTGAACTCACGCTTGCACTCTCTGTGGGGTGAGAAGAGAGAACAGACAGCTGGTGTCCCACAAATTCAGGGACCAGGCTGCCTGGGTTCCGGCCACAAATCCACTTTTGGTCACTGACTTTGAGGAAGTTACCTAACCTTTCAGCGCTTCAGTTTCCCTATGCATAAAAAGAGGATATTCGCAGTTCCTAAGAGCATAGGGAGGATTAAACGAATTTGTACACATTAAATACCTAGAAAAGTGCCTGACATTTTATAATAAATAGTACATAAAGTATAATCTATCTTCTTGACATCTGCCTTTAGTAATTTTTTTTTCTTTTCTTTTCTTTTTTTTTTCAGACGGAGTCTTGTGCTGCTGCCCAGGCCAGAGTGCATTGGCATGAACTCAGCTCACCGCAACCTCTGCGTCCTGGATTCAAGTGATTCTCCTCCCTCAGGCTCCCAAGTAGCTGGGATTATGGGCTACTAAGCCCGGCTAAATTTTTTATTTTTTATTATTTTTAGTAGAGATAAGCTTGCACCATATCTTTAGTCTTGCCTTTATTCTTAAGAAACATACACATCTGTGTGAATCTCCTAACACTGGTTTTGTGATTTATTCTTTGTTCATTCACATAGCAGATAACACATACATGTAAGCCGTGTGGTCTGTGGTTAGGGTTTACTGAGGTGGACTGACCCATGAGGCACATGGTTAAGGACTGCTATCTCTCCGGTGCCAGCACTCATTTGTGTGTTTCTTTGGGGTTTCTCAGTGAACCCCCAGTTCCCATGCTACAGCATCTGATGTTTACACTGAGCCATTGCCTGGGCAGAATTTCCATCATTCCACTTTGCTATTTTCTCCCCTCTTTCTTTCCTTCCTTCCTTCATTCTCTCCTTCCCTCCTTCCTTCCTTTTTTCCCTCCTTCCCTCCCTCCTTCCTCCCTCCCTCCCTCCTTCCTCCCTCCCTCCCTCCTTCCTCCCTCCCTCCCTCCTTCCTTCCTCCCTCCTTCTCTCCCTCCCTCCTTCCCTCCCTCCTTCCTTCCCCCTCCCTCCCTCCCTCCCTCCCTCCCTCCTTCCTTCCCTCCCTCCTCCTCTCCTTCCCTCCCTCCTTCCTTCCTTCCCCCTCCCTCCCTTCCTCCCTCCCTCCCTCCCTCTTTCCCTCCCTCCTTCCTTCCCTCCCTGCTACGTGCCTCCCTCCCTCCCTCCCTCCCTCCTTCCCTCCCTCCTTCCCTCCCTCCTTCCTTCCCTCCCTCCTTCCTTCCTTCCCCCTCCATCCCTCCCTCCCTCCCTCCTTCCCTCCCTCCTTTCTTCCCTCCCTCCCTCCTCCCCTCTTTCCCTCCCTCCCTCCCTCCTTCCCTCCTTCCTTCCTTCCCTCCTTCCTTCCTTCTTTCTGAGACAGAGCCTCACCCTGTCACCCAGGTAGGAAAGCAGTGGTGCAATCATAGCTTACTGCAGCCTCAGACTCTTGGGCTCAAGCAATCTCCCATTTCAGCCTCCCAAGTAGCTGGGACTACAGATGTGCACCACCACACCTAGCTAATTTTATTTTTAGAGATGGGGTCTTACTATGTTGCCCAGGCTGGTCTCAAATTCCTGGCCTCAAGTGATCCTGCTGCCTTGGCCTCCCAAAGCACCTGGCCCCACTTTGCTGTTTTCATTGTTTTTCTCAATGGACAGTGGTCACCTGGAGATCATCATGCTCTAACCCACTTTTACACTTATTGTTTCTCATTGGATCCATGTCAATTCTAGAGAGCTGTTACTTACAGTCTGTGGGGCATGGAGTGATCCTGAAACTGCTTTGCAGGTTGGAGGTAGAAGATCTGTAGTAGAATATGAGCATGGAGTTCCTGATACTTTTCCAGGTCTAGCTGCATTTTTATCTTGGGGATTAGGAGATACCCCAAATCCTTTCTATAAATCCCCCATTTTAGCTTGTGGGAATTTAAAAAAGAATTCACTGTTTGTGAGCACTCTAGTTTACAGGGAAAGTCAGTACTCCACAAATTTTGGTAAACATTGTTAAGTATCAATTCCTTGCGACCCCTCTCAGCATGGCCAATGAATACTGTTGTTCTGCACTGAGGGTCCTAGAGTTCTGGGTATAGGACATGGGGTTTGGTTCTTGGTCTTGGCTGGGCATGGCTCACACCACACCTCTCCACCTCTCTTCATGTGGGTAATTCTTATTCTTTCTTCAAGGCTCCGTTTGCGGGGGGTGGTGGCTCACGCCTATAATCCCAGCACTTTGGGAGGCTGAGGCAGGCGGATCACCTGAGGTCGGGAGTTTGAGACCATCCTGGCTAACATGGTGAAACCCTGTCTCTACTAAAAATACAAAACTTAGCCAGGTGTGGTGGCACGTGCCTGTAATCCTAGCTATTCGGGAGGGTGAGCCACGAGAATTGCTTGAACCCGGGAGGCAGAGGTTGCAGTGAGCCATAATCTCGCTATTGCACTCCAGCCTAGTCCACAGAGTGAGAATCTGTCTCAAAAAAAGAAAAAAGAAGGAAAAATAAAAGAAAAAGAAACAGACTGAGGCATCATCTCTTCTAGGAAGTTTTCCTGGACTCCGCCGGCTTCCTCTACACATGTGCCCCAATAACGCTATGCATACCTGGATGTCCGCAAAGCGCAACTGACCGAAATTTTCTGTGAATGTAGCAATTGCCGATGGAATGAAAATTCTTTCAGCACAGCAGCCAATTTCCATCCTAACTGTACCCTCCGTAGCTGGCACGTTGTAGCATTCAGCATTTGTTGAGCCAGACTGAAGCTTGTAAGTGTGCGTGTTAGCTGTATTTTTAATGCTTCTCCCTCACCCACTTTAGCCACTAAATGTTGGCAAGCAACACTTCCTCTGTTATGTCTGACCGATTCCCACCCAAACTACATTTCTTTATTCTCATTACTATTATTTTATTATCTCAGTTCCTGAAGAGCTCCTCAATATATCCTTTTTATTTTTATTTATTTATATATTTTTAGAGATGGGGGTCTCACTACGCTGCCCAGGCTGGTCTCGGACTCCTGGGCTCGGGTGGTCCTCCCAAGTAGCTGGGACTACAGGCATGTACCACCATGTTCCACATCCTCAAAACGTTAAAAAAGAAAAACCTAAATGCAAAAAGCCATGTGAATTCTGAACATTCAAAATATAAAAATATGAATTCTTGATGTTTTAATACCAGTAGTTCATTGGATAATGAGTAAAGGATACATTTTTCAAGTGAAATTAGCAATTTTAGCCAGGAAAAAAGATTATATATATATATATATAACTTATATATACATAAATATGTTTATATATAAACATATATATAATTTTATATATATACATATTTATATATAAACATCATAATATAAATTTAATATGAATATATAATAAATATCAATATAAATATTATATATATGTTCACTTGTACAATTTAGTTCATTTGAAAGTACACATTCATTTTGCATTTCCTGACTTTGGTGTGTCTAACTCTGGAAACATGATGTGACTTTCTTCCAAGCCAAAATGGCTTTCTGTCTAATGACAATGATTTATCACTCTATTGTGATTGGTGTTCTACTCCACCCAGTTTCCAAGAGGGGTCCTGGTTAGCTAAGAGTTATCCCCACTGCACAGAGAAAGGAGCTTTTCTTTATGAGAAATAAAGGGAGGATGGGTCAGAAGGAGGCACGCTATGATGGGAAGAAGCTACAGGCTAGTGGGAAGAAAGAAAGGCCACTACAAAAGAGGAAAAAGGGGAGGGGAGAAGGGAATGGATCTTTACTTCACTTTAGTTATAGATAACCCCGGGAAAGAGGAAACTCCGGGTAAAAACAGATTCAGCCACGTTGCTTTACATGAACTTTGTTTGAAACCTTGAAGCAGGATATCCTTCTGTTTTGAACCGTGGTATGGACTTCTTGTTTTGATTTAAATTATGTTTTTAAATCATGAAGCAGAAGGACAAACACACGGAGCCTCTTGACACATCTGAGTGACCCCAAAGACTCCAGCAAAGTTTATGTTTTAAAATGTGGTTGATGATATCCTAGTGGTGATCATTTCTTAATAGACCATTTGTTTTTCTTTTTTTCTCTCTCTCTTTTTTAAGACAGAGTCTTGTTCTGTTGCCCACGCTGGAGTGCAGTGGTGCAATCTTGGCTCACTGAAACCTCCGCCACTGGGTTCCAGCAATTCTCCTGCTTTAGGCTCCCGAGTAACTGAGACAATAGCCCTGTGCCACCATGCCTAGCTAATTTTTGTGCATTTCTATATTTTAGTAGAGATGGGGTTTTGCCACGTTGTCCAGGCTGGTTTAGAACTCCTAACCTAGTTGATCCAGCAGCCTTGGCCTCCCAAAGTGCTGGGATTGCAGGTATAAGTCACCACGCCTGGCTAAGAGACCATTTTCTCCACACAGTTAAAAAAAAAAAAAAAGAAGGTTTAGAATTATCACTTAAAAAAAATCAAATGAAAATGATTGTTCAACAGTAACAACATCTTAAATCAGCTCTCATGAAACTGTTTTAAGATTGCCAGGGGGTTGCCATTGTGTTGAGGAAGGACCCAGAGAGAGAAGTGGCAGCAGATTCCGTGCCATGGAGCCATGGAAACTTTCAGAACACTCACCCACCTTCGGCATTTGACTGAATCTATCTTCATTCCCACCCTACCCATATTTGGGCCCAAAAATACGTATTTGGTGTGTCACTTCTCAGCTCAAAATATTTCTGAAGATTCCCATGCCTGGAAAGTCTGATTTTGTCATAACAATGGGCAGAGCCACCCACAGAGCCAGGCAAGAGGAGCCTGCGTATCACAAATACCAAAACACAAAGACATTTATTGTTGCTGTTTTTCCTTTTGGTCTTATAAAGAAGGTTTTCTTTGGAAAGTTCTGTAACAGATTGAGCAAATGGAATTATTAAAAAGGACGTGCGTGCTGAAGTAGGCCTCCCCTCCTCTTTGCAGAGTAGAGTTTGTGTCGGGGAGAGCAGTGGTGGAGAAAAGACTGGCCTACCCGGGGACACAGGCAAAGGGAAGGGATGTTTTCCAGTTGGCCACCCTAAATCACCCAGGTAGGTGTCTCAGCAGGACGGGCCTCCCCAGATAATGATGCTCCCTTCAGCCCCTTGGGTCAGAAGGTATAGTCTTGGAGGCATCTGAGTTGGAAAAGAGGGGCATGGAGGAGAAGGACCTAGGTGCCCCAGAGCTCTGACAAGTTTCCTGGGTGAGTCCCATCCAGGGTGCAGGAAGGTCCTGTCCCCACCTGGGAGCCCTGTCTTCAGCTCACGCCCAACCTTCCCCAGCAGATACCGTGGTCTGCGCAGGCTCGCAGCCTGTAGGGTTGAGCCTGGCTCCTTTAGTCAGTCTCCAGATCAAGTGAAAACCTAAACTTGGCCATGAACAAAGTTATCAAGTTTCAAAACCTCAACTATTTCGGCATAGGGTATGTGGATCTGCCATTGTACTCTTGTCCTGGGCCCTATAAATGTTAGGGTCAAGGCTGACTCTCAGAATCATTTATTGGGCATTGAAATTTACCAAATGCCTGGCATGCTGGTAAGCATATTACTTCCATGAATCCTGACACAATCCTA